TCCAGTTCGGACAATTCTGACAACGAGGAAGCTGACGATAAATCTGTTCACAAAGATGACAGGTGCGAAGAGTGACCTTAAATACAAAAAAATTCCAAAGATCCGTAACTATAGTACTGTAATTCTTTGATGGGGAAGATATTTGTTTGACTATCCGGAAGAGTCTCTCTCCGGGGATATTATTGTCAGCTCTCGAAATATTCCTAAAATGCTGTTCAACTCTGATTATTAGATCAGCTGTTGAACCGTGCCCAAATTTTAAATAATATTCAAACGGGTCTGTGTCCCTTTTATTTTTGAATAGCTTCGCTTTATTGTGCATGATCGGTTAATTATCTGTGCTCGTGAGCTATTTAGTTCGTTTCAGGTCACCCGAATTATGGCCAGGAATCGTAAGATAAGCTTCAATATTCTGCAAATTGCTGTGCTTTTCAAAAAAAGCTTATTGAATAAACCCGAGCGTCATTGTAAGACAACATGCTTTGGCCAGAAAAAAGCCCTGTTCACTGATATGAAATGTGGTATTGAGAAAATGTACTGTACGCTTCCACTGTTTATAGCTATAACAGTGGCCAGTTGGAATTTACTCTTCTTCAAGGCTTTGCTTTGCCGAAATTTTTGAGAGAAGTACTGCATGACTACGTAAACGCTCCACTAAACAGTAGTCCTTTTTACATCTGAAATCAGCGAAAGACATTCCCATTCTAATTCATGAATGTCACTTATGAATTTTCTCTGCTAACCGCACGTATCGTCAATTAAACCCAGTCAATTGTCCGGGGAAATTATGATGTCGTAAGAAGTCCTTATTTCGAGAAACGCGATTATTGAGAGGGAGTCGACGTGTCTCGGACGATTCTAAATCGTCGTGAACTTGACCCACGGGCGTCAAGATATGATCACGCTAGTTAGTATTTGGTCTCACTGGTTTTTGAATTTAAAGCAGGGTGCTGACATTGGATAAATTATGATTTTGTAAGCTACGCGGCCAAGTCGAAAGTACTGTAGCTGCGAATTCAAAATTTCGCCGCTGATTGAACGATACTTTTGCGTGGACTGATGGTCGCCTGTTGCAGAGAAAATTAAATTCTTCCATCTTCTTCCGTTTTCGTCATCAATTAAAGCGTACTTTATGGGTTGGATTGTTATGTGCATAGTTACCACCACCAGCAAAAGAGCCCAGCGGTAGAGGTACAGTACATTAAAATGTGCTTTGAAAGGCAAATTTATGTTTGAATGCGACTGAAGCCTGCTATTTCCAGATTTTTATTGCATAGCATTTTAAAATCCATTTCAGGCTTGTTTTTGCGAAATAAGTTGTAAAAGTGTCCAAAAAATAATAAAACTCGAAGTAAATCAAATTGTTTTCATAAATGCACGCTCCATAAACGAAGTTGTGTCGTTGAAAGAGGTCCGCGTCTCATTAAAAAAAATGTTGAATACCAGTCCATCAATTTACGACTGACTGCATGTATGTTCGTCTTTTATTCTGTCGTTGAGGATTATATCGGTGACGATGCCGACTATACATTACATGCATCCCTGTTAGCTTTTAAAGTTTTATGATCTTGAAAAAAAAATCGAAATAAGCTTTATAACACTATTAACCGGGAGAAACTCATCGAAGAAGTCATTCTTGTAAAATGAACTTTGGTCTGATCAGCTTCCAGAGGGAGACCTGAGTTGTTAAATGTTCATTTACTTGCGTATTAGTTACTGTACGAATATTTTGGATGGAGTTTTAGGCCCGGGAATTCATCAAATCTACCCAACTTAGTTCGAGTATTATTTTTCAACCTGTGGCTTTCCTCCGATGGTCTGAAATATATTGGAAAGTGAGTGAGAACATCCGAAATATTCCTTGTTCTCAATTCTCCGTATCGGTGTGGAAATGCCTTTTCATAAAAGTATCATTAGGGTCTCGTTTTGCCAAATTCAAGAACGAAATGCAGTATCATGCAAATATTTTTTTTTTTACAGAGGAGTCATCAGCGTCAATCAGCAGGAAGTGTATATTCTGAACTCCAAGTATTTCCTTTTAAATCGTTTCGCCTTTCTTGAGTTTCGGACAAATTACATTCAAACCACCAGTAACTTCAGGTTAATCAGCAGTGAACGTCGGATCCCTTGCTTGTTGTTTTCCCCCCGGAACCAATAATCTTGGAATTGATACTGGTTTTTTTAATTGGTCAGTCTATTCTGGGCACTCACGATCTGATCTGGTGTCCGTGTATGCCGTGTGCTCGAACTTCCAAGTTTCTGGAAAGATTTATTCGTGAAGAAACGGCTTGAGTCAGATCTTCAACTTTTGTTCCCCTTCTGACTGTGCAAGAAGGAAGCAATTTTCTCGGATTAATTAAGAGCTACAAATTTGTCTCTTTCAATCATCCATATTTTTTTTGGGAGTTTAGCACAACAGGAACGTCAGGATACGTGTTTACGAAAAATGAACTTCGGTTTTCGTTTCATTTTCTTGAATCGAACTATCAAGCACTAAGTTTGGAAGTCCAATCCCGATTTTTATGTCAAGATCTTGCTGTCTGAAGTATGAATCTTATAAAGCCATTCGTGAGACGGATTAACGTGTGAAACGTTTTTCCCCATTCCTAAAAATTCTAGAGATTTGTGTACGTGGACTCGTTGGGATTCGTTGTAGTCACTTGATGAATTTTAATTTTGGCTTGACTTCTGCTGTAACTGATAGCTCGATACTAAATTAGCCTCGGACGATTCCAAAGGTTCTGGATTCGATGGGGATTTTGAAGATTGCTGCGAAAGGGGCGAAAAGTTCTGAGTTGATCTCGCGACGACATTTAGAGCTTAATTTAAAAGTCCCTCGCTTATCGCAAAGTTCCTGGTTAGTCGGGGGTTTCCTCATTCCGACCGCTGATGAGTTTAAATAATCAGTCGGAGTTGGGTTGCATGCCGACGAGATTATGAGGGATCAACTCGGCCGTCAATGTCCACACTTGGCGTCCTTGGGTGATTTTCAAGTCCGATCGACGGCATGGCTTAAATTGACCGAGCAGTCGTCGACATCAATAGAGTTTCTTCCTGCTGCGCAGTTTGTTTTCAGGGAAGCCCTTTTTTCTAGGACCTTAATGGGCCCTTTCTTCAGTTTTTAAGGATTGAGTTCATTTAGCGCGTGTGTCTCTCCTAAGTTGGAAATACGTTGTTGTTGGGAGGGAATCTTCTATTTTTGAAAAATTAATGGAAGGTTCGCTGAGAGGAGAACCAAACGAAACCAAAGAAGATTGAAATGCGCAATTCAAAATATGCGGAAGCGAGCCTCTGTGTATTGTCTTTTGCTTGCATTTTTAATTGAAGGAAGAATGTACTAGCTTGTCCAAAGTATCTTGATCATTTGCGATCTTTTATGATGAATGGAAAATAATTTCATGCTTTACATGTTCCGATCTGCTGCTAAATGTTTGCAGTTAATATTTTTTAAATAGATTAATATATTATTGTGGTTTTGTTCGTCAGGTAAATGAATGATGAACCATATTTACAACGGACGAAAGAAATTCGTGATCGGTGGGTTGTTTTTTAAGGCATTGCACAACAAAACTAAGTATAATGCGTCGTTTCGATTCCGTTCATCCGGGACAAAAATCGGGGATCATTTTTTCCTGAATAACTTTAATAAATCAATGAAAAGTACCCAGGAGATCTTTGAATAAATTCAGAAATCTGAAATCATGCTTCAGCCGATGCCACTATGCGATCTGCTCTTAAATACGCATTCTGATTTTGATTCTGGATCTCTTGAAGCTTTTTGTTCTTCATAAATGAGTATTATCGAAAGCTTGATCTCTTTCATGGAATATTTTTAAGTAAAGTTCAACTTGGTCAACAATACTATCTGCTTTCTGTTTTTTTCGTTCGTTCATTTTTAATTTCCCTTCGGGATGATTTTCATTACTTGCTTATGCATTTTTTGGTCACAATTATGTGACAGAACTGTTCAAAAATGTGAAATTACATGATAGTGAAACCCCACGCTATGTATGGAATTTTATTTTATCAAATCTATTTCCTCTGTGAAGTATTTCTGGAACTTCAAGATCAAGAAGTGATTGCATACGAAACTGATCTTGGGACTTGGATTCACATCATTAAAAAGCAAGCTGGTATCCGACATTTTAGAGCCGATCTCAGGTTATGACTAGTCTTGGCAGGCAGGAAGTCACGTGAACTGCATACGGAAGAATCGCTTCCACATTTTTTTTCTTTCGAAAATTGCCTGCGGCATGCAGGTTAAGTTTACCGACGACGGGGTCATTATTCGATAGTTTATTGTCTGCCTGAAGGTGACTTTCTCGTGATGCCGTCGATTGAGGAAAAAAAATGTTCCACAGGGCTCAGAATGTCAATTGACGGAATTTTTGAGTTATTGTCTCGCCCTTGACTGAGATTCAATGCGGCTGAAGCAGGAAAGGATGAGCTTTCAAGGGTTTTGAACACGCAAGGCTTTGGAATCTCGAAAAAAATGCCTTATCCCAATGAAAAAGTGGTGCATGTTAATTGCTTTATGGCCAAACTTCTCAAGCTTCTTCTGGAAATATGTTGAGAGCAAATTTTTAACTTCTGGCCGGCGCATATGTCAAATAATTTGGATGCACTTACGAAAATTCGAAGAATTATCTTTTTAAGCCTCAAAAATGGAGATCAAGCCCGAATCCGTTTTGGGTCACAGACAGTCAGAGGCCCAATCGTGTTTCGATTTATATCCTGTCTCTGTTGGACTCGTAACTCTACATCCGGCAATAATTTCCGTATGCAGTCATGGGAATGATTTAAAAAAACGTGAGATTTTTCAATATGAGTATGTTTTTTTTCAAGCTGAGATTCAAATCTCTGCTCTGAAATCCCGACGGACCGCACGGTGAAAATTGTGCGTTTTCAGGTGCGAAAAGCACTTCGCTTTCCCAGCTGCGTTGATGAACAAAAATGACGACGTTTGAAGGGATTTATTTTTGGATGTCTTGATATTGCAGGTCGCAAAGCGTTCCCTCACACGGAATCATGGATAAAATGAAAGCCGCTGCAGCAGCTGATGACGATCGTAGGTCGTCCGACGCTATGCCGTCGCCGTTGTACCGTCCCGTCGACGACGATGCACCACAAGTGTCCCAGCGAGCAGCTCTAGCAGGTGACGAATCTTTTTAATCTACCCCATTGCTTATCTCAAGAGTTCTCGGCCTCTCTGGAAAAATAAACTGCAGGAGTTGTCTGTATTCATCTGAATTTCAGTTTTTTCATTGCGATACTTGCAACTACAGTTTTCTCGTTGAAAGTTGAAACAAAATTTTCAATGGACGAACTGATGGCGCAGCTTCAATCTTGCCTAATTTTTGCTGGAATGTTTCCGACAATGTAGTCATTATTCCTCATTTGCTGTTTTTTTTCCTTTATTTCCATCACACTGAGGACTCTGTTCTACATCAATCGTCCGATATGATCCAGGGCAAAGTCTTAATTTCGGGATCCATTATGGACGTTTCTTGAAATATTCCTTTGAGCGATATTCGTGAAAAGATATAAGATTCCTTATGCTATTCTTGAATTATAATTTATCATGGAATTTCCTCAAAAATGCATCCTTTCTCCAAGTAACGTGAGTCATGCTTTGTAATTTGTCAACTGATCTAATACTATTGAAGACATTGTAATATGTTTTAAGCAGAACAATAAAGATTGTGAATGTGCGTAGCTCATGTCCCGTCCATCAACCAACGCATGCGTGAATTCATCGTTCTGTTTTTATGAAGAAAGGCTCAGTCATAGTTTTTTTCGGAACCACTTGTTATGTTTCAGAAGTAACAGTATGACGAATCAAATCTTGGGAATTTCGATGCTTATGATGCACTGATATTCATGAAAATTTTACCATGCTTATTATCCAATGTTATTCGATTTCAGCGCGAGCTGACCGCGGCGAGTCGCTGAGACAAGGACAAGTACAATTCGAAGTCGGTAAGTGAACGTAGAAATTATTATATTTTTTCCTTGCACACGCTTATTACCTGAAACTTCATGACCATCGCTTTTAGGGAGCCTGACCGACGTTCGAGATGAGAACGGGAAGATCAAGGGGAAGCATCGCAAAGACAAGTGAGTGTCACGTCCTCCGCACTATAAATAATCTTTTAATGGACAGGGAAACCGGTATGCTCTAAATGCTTTCGCATTTAATAATGAAGCAGGCAAGTCTCATATTGCTCAATGGAACTAAAATTATTTCTGTGGCTGAAAATAATATTTCCTTATCGCTTTCCAGCGAAAAAGATTGAATTATTTTCCAAACGCTTGATAAGTCGAACTATTATTTTATTTATTTCAAGTTCTCTTGGTATAGCCGCTTTCCGTCGGATTTAATGTTTTTTTTATTGATAAGTCGGAATGTCTTTTCATTTAAAGTTCTCTTGGTCGCCGCTTTCCGTTGAATTCAATGTTTTTTTACTGGATCGAAAGGCATGGAAAATTTTAAAATATGTTGGAAGGAGTAAATTCTGACAGTGCCTCATTTTATTTTTTTCCTTGGATTGTTTTTGACAAGCGCAGACTTTGGAAAAGATTTCAGAGAACGTTTTCACCGAATTACGAGGGTTGAGGGTGAGAGGGATTCACCCAGTCTGCTGTGGCATTTAAAGAATATATCTAATTTTTAAATTCACCTCTTAATTTTCATTCTCAATTTTTATTCGTTCAACTTGCGATGGTTTGCATGATGCTGCACTCTTCACTTGGTGAGCCGCCAAGAAATCTGCAGATTTTTTTCCAACTTCTCTCAAATGTGTTTAATACATGGATTTTTACTTTTTCGGGGAGCGGTATGCCTGTATTTTATTTTGAAGGAAAGTCTGCAGTTCTGCGGAATTCCTCTAATCGCGGCGATGCGAAAAAAATTGATCCGCTTTTTTAAATATGCATTTTCACTGTACCGCTACTTCGGATTTTTTGAAGCCGTTTCTCGACTCTAAAAAATCATAGAATCGTAGGTTAAACAGATGATGGTCACTTGAAAAATACCACCACGAGCTTTTGTCGAATTCTATATGGACGTTTCTGTTATGGGCCGCATTAATGTTCAGATGATATCCTCAGCAGTCGTTGCGCAGCAGCGCCGTCAAAGTTCACGGCTGTTTCATTCATAAAAATCATGTTCTGGTCCACCTTCAAAGATATTCGTTTTCCCGTATTGAAGCTTTTGCTTATCTTTCCATGAAAGATCCCGAAGGGAAGAAGACCCGACTTGGCGCATCCGATCGGGTTCTGAGATCGAGCCGTCATTCCAGCAGGCCCGGCTGAACCCCACGGAAGCAGACGAAGCCTCGACGCTCGGACACGCCGATTTGGACGACATGGCGAGTGAGTGCAAGGCAAACGGCTGACCCGAGCTTAGGTCGGACCCGCGACCTCAATAATCCCGTCGCATCTCAATTACCTGTCGTGGGAACTTGATCGTCTCGCTCTCTTCCGCATCTTGTGTAAAATCGAGATAATGAATCATTAGCTTAGCTGTTACTTTCGTGAAAAAAAAGCTCAACAAACCCTGCGGAACAGAATAGAACGTTTCGATGGTGTAGTTCACTGCACGTACTTCAACGAAAAAATCCATCTACTTAACTGAATGGAATCAAAATATTGCAGCTTGAAGAATAGAAAGTTTGACAGCAGGTACTGTACTCGTGTCCTAACAGTTTTTGCATTTAAAAAACGCATTTTGTAATGTGTTTAGGAAATTATTATTGCTTGAATACAGTACTTGAAAAAAACATGGATCCACCCCATTTTCAGTAATATTTGACGAAGGCTGTCAATTTTGATTTAATTTTATCCATTTGACCGCATTTTTTAATTGTTCCTCTGAGTTGCTGGTGAAAACTGTAAATCCTAGGAGTATATCGTTTAGTTTTTATTTTACAGTGTTCAAATTCGTGGGTTGGGTTTGTAAACCAGAATTTGTAAATTATTTTTTTAATCCAATAAAATAAATGAAAGCCAGTTCGCATATTAGTGGTCAGCGCAGGGGAATTTCGGATAAGATTCGATGTTGAACTGAAATTTTTACAATTTTCGCATCCGTATAATTTTTTAAAATGCAATAACCGAAATGCAACTTATGCTGCCTAAATTTTTTTCTTACGAAAAAATCATTATTTAAAGTTTAAGCCGTCGCTGGCGCGATGTGAGCAGTTCACACGCTTTGACTAGTGATTTTAGCTGCATATTGATGTGATCATTGAGACCCAGTAATAACTAATGAGAGATTCTGGTACGCTCACAGAAATGAAGAAACTATTTCTTAAGTTCAAGCGTCAGAGTTGTCCGTGAACAAGGTCATGTGACTCATAAAATGAACGATATCGCGCGCGGATGAATTGAATCGCGTTACAGCAAGTTCTCCTTGGTATTTGAAATTTATGTATTTATTCAAACAAACAGGTCATCGATACGATCACGTGAAACATTCGAGGAGACACCGCAATTCACACAACTTGGTGCACATCAGCCGAAAAGATGGTGCCGATGTCTTACCGCAGCTCATGAAGAAGACAATCGACCACGCCCCACATGACGTGAGTGCTAAGCTTCCTTTGATGCTCTTTTCCCGTTGAAGTTAATCACGGTATTTTCTGACCACTAATGAGGACTCTTAATGAAATTCAGAGAGCGATGCTTCTCGTCCGAGAGACGCAATAAAATAAACCCTATGTTATCAACGCTGGTCATATGCAAAGCGCCGACACATGAAAAAAACCTATTTTGAAGCTATTTCTTCGTTACGTCTGAAGATACGATTCCGATGTGTGTTTATCGTCGAGCTATTTATAAAAAGATGATTCAAGTTATAAATATTGCGGGAAGCGAAGTATGATTTCGTTCAGTGCAAGTTATTATTTTTTAAAATTGATAGTCCTGAACTCTGATGAAAAATTCGTGACGCATTGTCCAAATATTTAGCTTTCTGTTACCAGCACCTCTCGTCAAGGATGCAATTACATTTCAGATTCAAATTTAGATTAATTTCCACAGCTTTTTATTGAAGGAAACAGCACTCCATAATGCAGCTTCGCAGTATTTCCTGAATTTCAGAATTTTCCGTCGTGGCATAAATTGTGACTTTTGTTTCTAAATTTATTAGTTCAAAGGCCAGGCAAAATGACGGCAAACTTCAATCTTATTAATGACGATTTCCGTAGAGCTGATGACACTTGAATGACTCGATTTAGCTTGTCAATGAAAAGTGGCATAGAGCAGATGTTGCGTCGAAGTTCTCCGTCGTAGTGATCGACGTTCCAACGTGAAGTCTGCATCTCTGATTTTAAATTTCTGCGCATGTTTGCAGATATTCGTGCAACTTGACGAGTTGTACGTGACACTGTCTGGACAAGAATGGGAATGGAAGCAGACTGCTCGTTGGATCAAATACGAAGAAAACGTCGAAGAGGGTGGCAAGTGGGGAAAAGCTCACGTGGCATCCTTGTCTTTCCATTCGCTGCTGAACCTGCGTAAATGCTTGGAGCAAGGCAAGTACATGCTCGTAATCGCTCCCATTATCATCGAAATTTCCCACGAGCAATTAACTTTATTCCGGCGGACTGGAAATTTTGTCCGTCGCTATGTTGAACAAACAGAATTCGTCAGTTGTTGGCTGGATTCGCTAAATCCGATTAAATTTCGAAGAACACAGTCTCGTTATCGTATTATTTTTGGAGCAACCCGTCGAAGGTTCATCCATGGGCATGTCGTTTCAATAACTTCTATCCTCCGTAATTAGTTACAGTATTTGATCTGTACATGAGATAACTGCGTACATCTAATCAATTAGAGGTTCTTGAAAGCACTTCCCAATGCGTGGATTGGAGAATAATCTTGATGGTTGAATATACGATACTTTTGTGTGCACTATTGAAGTTATAATTGTTTCGCTCAATATGAGTTTGATTTTAGCTTATCCTCGCAACAGTTAGTTTATCGTCTTATTTATAAAGCAGTATCAGCCAGTACAGCACATCAGATTCGATTCAAACATTTTTTTTTAAATTTGTCAGGAAATTCTGACAATTGTTCCGAATTTGTTCGCCCAGTTTCAAACAATACAGCGGAGAAAAGCCTTGAAAGTGAATTGATCTCTCACATCTCTGTGGAAATGAAGTTTAACTTCCACACTTGAGCTTTTTCTTGAACGTTATACATTTTAAGTTTTACCGATATTATAGATACAGTATTAGAATACATTTTCTTATAGATTTCAGTAATCTGACGACATTTACCAATGAAAAACGTTCTGGTGTTTTTGTGTTGGTGATAACTGAATGTAACTTGTCAACTACAGTTCTGAGTACAAATAACCAAGGTCAGTATTTCAATGCCAGAAAATGTCTTCTAACGAGCGCAGGTTATTTGAAGGCAAGTTATCGATCTTACGAAAATTTAGAGGATTGTATATGTTGGAGGATTTGCTAATAAGAGGATAAAGGCTTAATAAGAGGATGTGAGCACTTACAATGAATTAATTTCCGGAGACTAACAAAACTTAACCCTTGTGCAGCCGTGAAATTAGAAAGGAAGTTCTTCTCACACGTTATTGGTTAAGTTGAAAATGAAATATGATAGGATCTCTTCCGATCTGTTGGAGTCCTCGAATAGTTGAGGGCCAGCAGTCCTGATGGAGAATAATTTCGATGCATGGTTCTAAGAGCAAGCTTAATAATGATTCGATGAGACTTTTTTTATCGTGGAAGAATGAGATTCCAAGGGCATACGAAACATGTTCTCGGGAATTTGGAAGCGATGAACGCTTCGAGGGAGGCATGCAGGGACTGAGTCGATTGAGGACTCGGTTACCCTTTTGGTGACGCGGATGTGTTTTAATTGCGGGCTCGTCGTTGACAGGCGTTGTGCTGCTTGACCTCGAAGCCGACGACATGACCGGGGTGGTGAATCGCGTCGTGGAGCAACTGGTCATCAGCGACCAAATCCACCCCGAGGACCGCGGAGCAGTGCTGAGAACTCTGCTTCTTCGCCACAAAGCTGTCGACGATAACGAGGCATTTTTCAAAGTGCGGAGAAACTCGTTTTCTTCTCTCAGTCTGCATGTAATTACATATTCGCCTGCTGCTAATGCCTTGTCTCGGTATTTTGGTTCCTAATACATACATGCTCGGGATGACCGAGTATAGTACAGTAGCAGGGAATGCGTTCTGCAAACCAGACTCGGAGGCTTCGAGATGGAATGGTGTCCCGAAGCCTCGATTTTTCATGGCTGGAATTTCCTTTTTCAAGTTTTATCCCTCGGAATCTTTCGACGATTTGTGCAAGTTTTCAGCGCAAGGGTTTACGGGAGCTTTTTATTTCTTGCTGCAGAGAGACACGGGTTGAGGACTAACAGCTATAGATCTGCAATATTCTGTTCCCTTCCCTAATTTAAGGACTTCCCACATGAAACGCATAAATCATATGATGATCTTCGATGTAAATGCATAGTATTGAGACCGTCTACGCAGGAGTAGTTTCAGACCGGAATGAGTCAGGATGGAAATCATTGCTTTCAATTCGACTAATTTTTTAGCGTTTTTCTTTTTACTTTGATATACAGTACTTAGTTTGAACGGATGTTTAGACAGAATCCTACTGATCTACGGGATCTCTCTTTCTCGATCAAAAGTTTTTGTTGATAGCAATATCTTCTTACAACGAATTTCATCTCTCCCGTGGTGAACCTTGTCTTCGGCGACTTCTGGTGTCGAGAATGAAGACCATAAACCCTTCGATTTTAGCAAAAAGGAGCTTTCCATTATTGCATTTTTTCAGTAAAACATTATTGCTTGAATAACATCCTCCCATTACTTCAACATTTTGAAGTAAGTCTTTTTTAACGGTCGTAGCAAGCGTAATTTCGATAATGAAGTGAAAATTATGTATATTTGCGACTACAATATTAATTGAATGTGTATTTATTCCTTTGAAATTCAATCAATAGAGAAAATCTTGAGAAGGGGAACCCTTTCTGTTTTTCCTGCTCATGTTGCAATACTGTATTTAGGAACAACGACTTTCATAAATGAGCAAAGCTTTTCTTCGGTGTCTATCGTTTTGCCGTGAACCTGCAATATGTAATTGGTGGAGGGTAAAGGTCACTAATATCGAACTAGTGACAAATTCTTTCTAAAATTTGCATGCGCGCGGAGTTCACTTGTGTTAATATGTAGATCAAACTCAAGACTGCGCACACAGTTTTTGCATGAAAGATTTAATGATCGGTCTTTGATAAATTCGCTTTAATTAAGTTCTTCACTTCATTCAACTGAGGCGGTAGGTTTTGCATGACCTGAGGTGAAGAATATTGAATAAATATTTACTGAAGCCGCTGGGTGAGCTTCGGGATGATGAGGACCATTCATGTGGAAAATTGGAAGGGATGGGAAGGACGATTTCATGGCTTCAGTATGATTAAGGAAGTGTTCTTCGTGTGACAAAATTAGAACCTGAACGACAAGGGAGCCTGGCCGAAACTCGTGCCTTCCCTGACGAACCTGGCTGGACAAGATGGACTTTCCTGTTCTGTTTCGAACATGAACCCGAACCTTTTGTCTCCAAACGAAGCCACGGGCTATGTGCGAAGTGGATCCATTCGCTTTGGCAGCATCAGCAGTTACCGTGACGTAAGTACATTTTCCTATTCCTTCAGTGAACATTTCAGTTGAGTAGTGTTGCATCGAAGTACAGTATTTATTTTTCTATATCTCGGTGAGGTCCGAAATGTCGAAACCCGAGAAGGGTTTGCCTTACACTGCTTACAGTATTAACTTGTGTACCACGTGTATCTGCTTTCCTAAATCGGTCAAAAAAGTGTAAAAGATTCAGCCCAAAATTTAAGTAACAGTATGAGATAATATATGGGGTTTGAAGAAAATCATGAATTTAAAAAAATCATAGGGACTTGTGTGTATGTGTGTGTGTAGTATTCAAGTTAACGGAATAAATTCTCAAATTTTTAAATTTTTCATTCACCGTTTTAATACTTATTAACAGGAAAATCCTGTTCAATCGAAAAGCAATGCACGCTAAGATTAGTAACAGATATACGTTTGACCCAATCAAGGGATTTCGAAGGTGGTGATGTTCAGTTTGGTTTTTCTATTCGTAAATACTGTATCTCATTCAGAAAAGCTCTTATGATGTCTTATCGCATCTAACCGCGAAATTAAATTATTCTATCTACTTTTAAGCATTGATCTACAGTGCAGACGTGCTTTTTATCATATACCTTCTGAATTGTTTCTTCAAGTGCCTATATGAGCGTGTCGAGTACAGTAACGGTAATTTTGCTGTTTAGAACGCACTGTTCTTGGACGCGCTTATCCAAGAATATTGTCGAACGACGTTATGTTAATGCTGCATTTGGAGCCATGTCTCATGCGGGAACTTACATGTATCGACTATCTTTCAATACGCGTGGTTTCAGAGTTGTTTTTTTTTTTTTTTTNACCTTGAGATGAGGAGGAGATACTGTAATACTATTCAAGGTGATGAAACGATAGATTCCGATGTGCCACATTTGGGCGAATGATGCAGCTTGCTCTTGGATTGCAGGTTGAGAGCGCCGCTGACGCTTTGGGCTCGCAAGGGTTGCGCCACGTGCCCAGCAACAGCATCCTTAGGAAGATCCCGGCCGGTTCTGAGGCCACCATGGTGCTGGTTGGTGCCGTGGACTTCCTCGAGCTGCCGGCCGTGGCTTTCATCCGACTGGCCAAGGGCACCACGTTCCCCGGCGTGACCGAGGTCAGATTCAAACACCATATTAATTGTTAGATGAATCTAATTACTTCTGGAAATAACTGTATTCAGGTCCCGATTCCGACCCGGTTCCTGTTCTTCCTCCTCGGTCCACTGAACACCGATCTGGATTATCACGAAATCGGCCGATCGATTGGTACTCTCATGTCCAATCCGGTAAGGAAGAATTTGTATAGAAGAAACTCGATTGATCCGGTAGCTGTATGGGCATTCCACTTTTATTTCTCAAACAACTTACTATTTTTGTTAACTGGTAACTTGGCTACATCTTTCTATACCAAATGAGTATGAAGTTTGCGAAGCACAACTTTAAAATTCTTTGACTAAAAGTTCTTCAGCTTTGATGAAGAGTCAAGTCTCAGTCTAATATTTTCGGTGCTGGGCCCATGCATTGAATTCTTGCGGCATTCTTGGAAAATATTGACATTTTCAAATTGCCAGCAATGATCGGGAAACGTCCAAAACTTGTAATTCTTTGACCTGAGAATATTAACAGAACATTATGAAATCGCAGCCGCAAACCAGCAAGTGCTATGAACAGAATCTGCGAATACAGCAATTGCATAAAATAGCGAATGAACTTGTAAAAGTGACTTCAAGTTTTAAATACTGTATGCAGTACTTTATTCTTGCTCATTTTACACTTGCTGTTTTTTGCAATTGATTTGCTGTTCTGGTAGTTGCTGTCGAAGTGGGTGCCCCTCTGTCGAGTACCCGTTTCGCCGAGTATGAAATACTGTACCTCTTTTTTTGGGCTAAAGTGATCAGATGTGCCTGGATAAAAACTGACAGAAAATCCGAGTTGAAGATGACTCGGTCAACTGCTGTACCCCATAACTGGCATTTGAATACATTTCTTGTGGCCTTTTTAGAGTGATACCTTTTCCAGACTTCCTCCATTATCAGAAAGTAATGATATAAATCGCTAGAAATTGAAAAAAATACGGAGGATTCAATTCTGATGAGTTCACGCTGATCGAGACTCGACCTCTAAGAATGGCGTTCGATGCACCGATTCGTGCTTGGTTAATTGAATCCACAGTCAATCGAGGTTCTACTGGGTTCCAAGATACAGCATATTGATGAATACGACTCCTTGATTTTCGCAGGGCTTCAATGAAGTGGCGTACAAGACGGAGACTCGACGAGATCTCCTTTGCGCCATCAACGAATTTCTGGATGACAGCATTGTGCTGCCACCTGGCGAATGGGAGAGCAAGACCCTCTTGCACATTGAGGACTTGCAGATGAAGAGCCGCGAGATTCGTGAGCGCAAAAAACAGCGCTTGGAGATGGAGAAGCAACTGGAACGTCAGTCGCTCACTGTTCAAGGTTTGTTCCCTTGTCCTTTTTTTGTGTGGTCGAATAAATCCGTATCGCTGACACGTTAATGGCATCAGATACATCGATTATTCCCCGTGTTTGCACACCGTATTTATTTTTCATAACACTCGCACCGTTTTCTTCGTAAATTATGAGAGGAAAAAGGGAGGGTGCGCGTCGTGGGCGGTTATGAAGTTTTTAAACTTCCCTGTAGTTTAGGTGCACCTTATGCTTGAGTCAGTTGTGGAAAATATTTGATCCATATATATAAGAAAAGCAGGGCAGTATTTGCGACACTGGATTCAATTTAAAAGCAATTGAATTTAGGCTCAAGTGAAATTCCAGTTTTTATGTCGCTAAAATGGGATGCAGGTCTTACTTGAGAGTGCATGGTACTTGAGGAAATATGGTACCCTTGAATACAGTTCAGTACACGAGACATGTATAGTCTCTGCTTAATCGCGTTTTTTTTCAACGTATTTAATTTTCCAATTTTTGGTTTGAGAGGGTCATCGTTTAGTGGAGATACAAACGTACACTCTGCCAGCTAGCGGACGTGATTCTTCCATTTAGGTATCGGTTCACTTCATGGCATTTGATTTGGGGGTTTGCGGGTTTATTTTTTGTAGATGAGAAGGCTCTGGCTGTGGTGGCGGCTGACGGAATGCGGCTGTCACTCGGCGGCGACGGCGGTCCTCCCGACGACCCACTCGAACGGACTGGGCACCTGTTTGGCGGCATGTTCCGCGACATCAAGCGTCGATATCCGAAATACCTTTCTGACTTGCGTGACGCGCTGAATCCGGTGTGTCTCGCAACCGCAGTCTTTATATATTTCGCAGCGCTCTCCGGCGCCATCACTTTTGGCGGTCTTTATGGTGAGAAATCTAATTTTCCTCGTTACTGTACTGTATTACCGAATCCTGAGACTCGCTGGTATGATTTCTGTTTTATATTAAAAAAAATACTTTCCGAAGTTAGTTTCTTCGAGGAGTCTTCGGAGGTTCTTTTCGTTTCAAGGATGTTTTGAACTCCCGTGATTTCCGTCCTGTTGTTTAGATGTCGCCTCAAGCGGTTTTCTTTCACAGTGTCGAAGCTACTTTTGAATAATCGAGCTAATCATCCATAAATTTTCCACGTTACAAATTATTTTGAGTTCTTTCTGGTCGCTGTTCGATGTTCTCAACTATGATTTCTGAAGCTGCATTTTTGGATAGGTCTAACAGTTTGGACGAGTCAAATAATGCAGTTTGGATAGGGTTAGCGAAGTTCAGGTTTTTTTTTCAGTCTGACTATACTTGATGTATATAGTGACTTAGTGATTCAGTTGATACGTGTCAGACATACCAGGAAGCTGATGAAAGATTACAGTGGGAATGATCCACATGGACTCCCTCAAATATTCAGATAAAGTGGAAAGTATTCTTACTTTTTAAACGTGCTCGCTGTATCCGCAAGATGGTTTTTATTTAATCGAAATTAGACTTTAAAAGCACCATGAACAGTGCTTCGATTGAACTGCCTAAGTTTGAAAGCTCCTGTTGACGTGGTTTTTGTCTCATCCGACTCAAGGATCAGAAACTCTTGATGGCTCCAATCTGGTGCTGAACCTTTTCAGCTTCGAGTATAATTATTTTTACTTGATCAAATGCTGACAAGTGACAACGAAACCTATATGTGTCATGCGAGGTAGTAATTAATGCACCTTATCAATGCTTTGCAGGGGCTAAAACGGACAACTTGATTGGGGTATCTGAAACGTTGATTGCCACTGCTTTCACTGGTGTGATGTTCGCCCTCTTCGCTGGACAACCTCTTATCATCGTCGGAGCCACGGGACCTGTGCTCCTCTTCGATCAATCTCTTTTCAGCGTGAGTTACTGTATTTGCAAAATTTAAAACTTCGGAATAAAATACTGCACTTTACTTGTCTAAGCTCTGGTTAAGAAATTCAGGAAGCTTTCAAGGTATTTCGTGTGTGTCGAATTCTCATGTCGAGGGATGAAGTCGCACGATGCATGATTTGGTTCTGTATAGCCGTTGTGGTCATATATTCAAGGTTTTTTTATCGAGAAGAATGTTGTATCAGAATAATTTTACAAAGAAGAAATTGTATTAGGACAATATGTATGCGTCAAATAAGAAAAATGGGAATTTTTACTTCCTTGAACGCAATTGAATGGTTCCCTTTTTTCGCTTCTGGAAATCAGGTTTTGTTTTTGCCTGGAGCTATGACCAAGAGAAATGTTTTTGCTAAGCTTTTCTCGCGGAGAATGGGGGTTTTGAATAATATTGAATGTACAGTATTGTCTGCATAGATTGGGAGACACACTTTCCCGAAACTGATCCCCCGATAAAGTTTATAAGAAAAACTTTGATTAACAGAAATTTATTTTCGCGTTTTGCTTCCAGTTCTGCGCGTCCCAGGGCATCGACTTCCTTCCTCTCCGTGTCTGGGTCGGGATGTGGCTCGGAGTCATTGGCTTGATTTTCACCGCCTTCGAAGGAGCTTGTTTCGTACGGTTTTTCACGCGATTCACTGAGGAAATCTTCGCCTCACTCGTGTCCTTGCTCTTCATTTTCGAAAGCTTCTTCAAGCTTTACACGGTGAGTGATCGCGCTTTCTCGAGTTATGAAATCCAAATTGTTTCTGTGCGCTAATACCGTATATCTTATTCGCATGATCCAAAAACACTGCGTCAGAATTGCTATGAAAAAATTATTTTCCTGCGTGTAGATGTCACTAGCAGTCACGATGTGATCTCAGTTCCACGCTGACGTATCTGTCATCTGGTCCTCGTTCCTTTGTTCCCATGTGAGCATGTGTAATTCTAATGCAGCTTACGTACAAGAGTTGATTCAGTTCATAATCTTACAAAATAATTACCTTTTTTTCGTTTTTCGAGTGAGCTTCCTTGATGTATTCTCCATCAAATTCGACCCTCTTCCTGCATGCGTAGGTTTCAAGCACAATCAAACTATTGACATTTTCACTGCGCACCAAGCCAGGATGCCCATAGATTTTATTACTGGAACGAATACTGCTCTCGAAAGACATGAAGTAATTTGAAAAATGAAATTTGCAGGTGTACAGGGATCATCCTTTGCTGGCGGATTACTGCTTCGTGACGGAATCCACCATTGCAACATTGATTGCAAACGAAACCGTGAATGGTACACTGCCAATGACGACCACCATGAGTCCTATGACCACTTTCGCAAGCTCAAACATGTCAGTATATTTTTTTCTTTGCGCTTATTTTGATATAGTCGGTGTCTTTTGCTACAAGTTAATGTTGTTATGAGATTAACTATCATTTTAATGGTGAAAATGAACTGGGTTTTGGTCTTGCGTCTTCTTGAAAAAAATTCAGAACTCTGTTCGGTTTGGACCGCGTCCGACGTGAAATTGCGGATCAAGGAGTGACTGTGGAAGAAGATGCTTTGCCGATGAATGAGCCCAACACTGCACTCATGTCCACCGTCCTCATGTTGGGAACCTTCTTCATTGCCTACTTCCTGCGTCACTTCCGTAATTCCAAATTCTTGGGCCGCAGCGTAAGTTCATTTATTGATATGTTCCTTGTATGTATGTTCCATGTTGATATGTTCCTTGTAGATTTTTTCTTGTACGTAAATCATATTAGAATTACTCAATCATAAGAGTATTTTTGGAACAAACTGAGAATAAAGTTTCTGAATTTCCGGTTGTTAAGCTGATCGATTGAAATCTTGGTCAGGCGCTGTCGCATTGAAGTGTCACCTTTTTTTTTATCAATACCACTCATTGCGTAGAAAAGTTGGCGTTCGCAATTTAAAAACGATTGCTCCTTCTGAATAATAGGCTCGCCGTGCTTTGGGTGATTTTGGAGTGCCAATTGCTATTGTGACAATGGTCGTTGTTGACTACTTGGTCGAAGACACGTACACGGAGAAGCTCAGCGTTCCCGAGGGTCTCAGCCCATCCAACTCCAAGGTTCGCGGGTGGCTCATCTCTCCGTTCGCCGAGAACCTGCCGACCTGGATGATTTTTGCTGCAGCTCTTCCGGCCGTCCTCGTCTTCATTCTTATCTTCATGGAAACTCAAATTTGCCAGTATGTTTTCTACTTCGAAATTTTCTCGTTACCGGCAGGTTTTTCCGTCTCGTGATTTCACTTATGTAAAGGCCTATAGATGCCCTTTCTGAGCGGTTTGATGACCCCTGTCATATGCTGTTGGTGTGCTCGTGGTGAATGTGAAGAAAAATTACATGAGCAATTGGTCTGCTAACTGTATATAGTAGTGTAAGCATTTTGGTCCACTTCCAACCAAAGAATGTAATATACGGGTGGACTTCTACAAAAATGTAAGGGACTATAGGAAAATATTCGTTGCAGAGAACTCCTTTAACATGGCAGAGAACCCAATCGGACAGCAAAAAAATAAAATATAGTTTTACAAAGAAAATGGTTGCACATCACAAGCTTGTCGAGAGAGTATACCTAGCGTACTATAATATCGGGTAGCTCAGGTCACAAACTTTGAGCTTTTAGAAGTCTAGCGTAAGCTGTACATTTTTGGATGAATTTTTAAGAAAGCTTGGAAAATTTTCAAATCATTTACCCAGCGTACTAATTTGTGGGGAAATTTAATTTTGTCTATGTTACCAAGACAAGTTAGGGAAAATAGCATTTTTGCTGGGGAAAAAATGAAGAATCAGAGAAAGTTGAAATTGTTGACCTTCTTGGCTTTAAACTGCTGAGCGAATGAGTTCACAGAATGCTGAACTTAGTTGCAAGGGGTTTCCCTCAAATAAATTTCTTCATCTACTGTATTTTAAAGGTATCAATTTGCATTTTATTTCTTTTCTCTTTCCCTTTCCTGGATCTCCAGAATAATAGCCCAATAAATGCCTCGAGACATTCGAGTTTTGGAGGTTTGAGGAGGAGAGTATTTTAGTTAATGAGGTCTATGATATATTGTATACGGTCCGACTGTATTTTTAATTTCAGAAGCTCAGATGTGTGCGTGTGTGATATACTGTAGTAAGTGTAGTTGATTCTAATGGAAAGATTTTGATTCATTTTAACGAACCATTTAAAAATGGAAGCAATTAGAAATTAATTGATTGATTTAATCCAAGTCAAAGTTCAACTTCTGAAGCGTTTTGTTGTCCAAATATTGCAAATTTTCAGTGACGAAAAATGGTAAGCACGGATTTTCAGGGATTGGGTTTTATCCAAATTTTCGGCTGAAAAATCCAAGAGTGGGTGAATGCTGGTACTCAATTTAATATACTGTACTGTAGTTCGGATTGGACTTGGTCCCGGTAACAGGATTTCTGCGTATTTGAAATTTGCTACGCGCCGGTGCGGCATTTTTTGAGGAATGCCTCCCGTCACAAGTCATGATATTATATCCGTCACTGTGTTCAATCTCATCACTTGATTGTTTTGTTCCCCATCAGGCTGATCATCAACAAGAAGTGCACGAAGGGATCAGGACACCACTTGGACATCGCGCTGTTGTGCTTGTTGAACATGCTTTGCGCCCTGTTTGGAGCCCCGTGGCAGCCGGCTGCGACCGTTCGTGCAGTCTCGCACGTTTCGGCTCTCACCGTCTGGTCAACCAACCAAGCTCCCGGAGAGAAACCCAAGATCTTGGAAGTCAAGGGTGAGCGTAAATTTTAAATTCATCTTTCTTTTTTTTTGGTCTTTTAATCTTCTCTGTCGGGCGACAAGCATTGTTCGCCAAACAAGTTGAATCTATTCCCCCATGCTTAATCTGTTTGGTCAACTGTGGTTTTGGACAGCTGTTTCAACGGGTCACTTTTGGATTGATTATAACGTCAGTTAACCGGAAATTTGATTAACCCTGCCTAGTTTTCATCCATTTTTGAGAGAATTAAACGCTGTATACTGACTAATATAATCTCAAACCACCTTATATTTTTCTCAGTGGATTAACGCATTTATTTGCTCTTCTGTGCATCGGAATCAACGGGAATGTCTGGTCATTTTTGAAGACTTCATTTTTAGCTTTTCCAACGCTATTTCATTCGATTATCCGGGCAAAGGACCAAGTCAGGACTTTTTCATCTGAGATAAATCGCATACGTCTTTCGTAAAATTAAACGAGACATTAGTGAATGATTGATTCTTCGGATGAGCAGGTTTTTTGTTAGCTTCAACGCAAGATTTTTTCTATCGAAATTTTATTTAAATTTGGCTCATTTTCATAAAATTGAATCAACGTAGACCGCATGATTCTATCTACTGGAAATATTTCTGATTGTTTTAAATCATCGCCGCGTACAAATAGTTTTTAAGAATGCCATAACTTTTTTTTATTATTTCGGAGGCATATATTTGAGAACGTGTCGATCTAATGGACAATTGTTTGGTCTGGTTTGAGTAAGTATAACAACTGAAAATAATTATGAAGTATCCGCATGAGAAATTGAGCAATGTAATCTTTGACGATCCGTGTGAAAAGGTAATTTTTTTACGATCTTGGCGGTGCAGAAGCAGCCTCGATTGAACTCTGCGGATAAATTAGAATTGAATAATTAATCTTCAAAATGTCTTGTCTGTCTGCAGAGCAACGAGTCACCAACTTGATCGTTGCTTTGATGGTCGGCCTGAGCGTGCTGATGGCGCCTATCCTGAAGCAGGTACCACTGGCGGTGCTCTTCGGCGTTTTCCTGTACATGGGTATCTCATCCACGAATGGCATCCAATTCTTCGAGCGACTTCAGCTCCTCACCATGCCTGTCAAACATCACCCGCGAGTCAATTACGTCCGCAAGGTGAATTTCATGATTTCAATCCGCAAGACAGACCCAGGCGACTCTTAATCGATCAATCGAACGATTTTCGCATTTTTTCCAACTTTTAAACGCCGAATTCCTCTTCGGGATGACGACTTTCATCGCTTAAGCAGCGCCTTCAATGCTGTTTGATGTTGGATATTATGTCTCCTGTTGGTCAATTTTCTCGCCAGATGTCGCGCTCACTTTCCCGTAACTTTGCTACGGGAATGCGCCTATTCTCATCGGGTTTTGAAAATGAAGTTACAAAGCAATCCTCCGAAAAGAATTTTCATGAAATTACAGTGCCGTAGTTTATTTCTGAAAAGAAGCCTGATTACTCCAGAAGTGTTGAGGATTTTAATTTCCTGTCGCATGATGCATTAAGCATTCAAACTGACTTGTTGAAAAGGCTGGGCAGTATTTGCACTTGCGTATGGGGGCGTCTTGCTTATTAAAACTTGAATGGTCTCTTTTTAGGTGCGCACGTGGAAGATGCACATGTTCACATTGATCCAGATCTTGTGCTTGGTCGTCCTCTGGGTTGTCAAATCCACCGCAGCTGCACTGGCCTTCCCATTCGTGCTTCTGCTTATGATCCCGATCAGGAAACTGCTCACCCAGTTCTTCACGCCCAGAGAACTCATGGCTGTGAGTATTTCTCCATCTTCAGTTAATTTTTTTTTTCATTTACATAATATTGCAAAATAGATAACAATCCCTGATCTCTTCGAATGCCGTCTTGAAAAGGATTACATCTGCTTTGTGATCGAAGTTGCTCATGTGTCATTCTTTGAATTACATTAGTCAGCCAAGACAATTGCAAGCGTCCCAAAGTGACGCCTTTAGAAATGCCGCCTAAATTTAAATGCAAGTATTGATTGAATAGAACGACACGTAATTACCTGCAGCCCAGAGAATAGTCATCTACCGTATTTTAAATATAATCATACTTGAAATCGAAAGATTTTGATAATTTCATTTCATCACACAACAAAAATCTCGCTACAAAAATATCGGGTTTAATGAATAATCGCTTAAAACGAAATCGTATTTTAGATCCCTGCCTATAGTAGCCACAATGTTGAAAGAGTGGCTTTATAACGATTTTTTTTTACAGTAAAGCCATTTTACTGGCCTCCGTGGCTTCGTTGAAACGAGATTTTGCAGTATACATATATACAGTATTTTGTAAGGCTCTGACGCTGACTGACCTTACCTAAATGATTCGCGTCATTGCCCGACTCTGAAAACAGTTCGGTGCATGTCTTGCCGTCGACAAATGTCTTTTAAAATTCAAACCGTTCTGTAAAAGTACTTTTCTTATCTGCTGCTCTGGTTCTTCCATGCGGCCGAATTTGACCTCATGTCTTGGTATTTGCAGTTGGACGGAAAGAGCGACGATGCAATGGTTGACGACGAGGAACCAGATTTCTTCGTTCAGGCCCACGATATCAGCTAAACTGTTTCCCTGTGTCGAAAAAAATTCTCACTTGCCTCCTAGGAATTTCACTATGGAGTTCTGAAAGTGCGCCTAGTAACGTCCCTGTGTCGAATACCCTGAGGAATGATTTGGTACGCTTTTATTTTATTTATGTTTCTTTTCTTTTTTGCCACGTGACCGCGGATACATGATGTACGCCGTGACTGAGTCGGGAACTTCTCGCAACGATGTACATAGTAGTGAGATTCCGCGGTCAAGCTCGGCTCATTGTAGCGTATTATTTAATTTTATGATTTCGAGTTTGTAGTTGTGTGCTAGCAACAGTGTTGAGATTGGACCACGACGGAAGTAGTGGATGACCCTGCGAGGCGCGTGTTTTGTCAAAAAAAATGTTTTCCTTGCATGAAATCATGTGGATCTTGGGCAACTGAGGGTGCGAAACTTTTCTTTCCTGCCAACTATACTAGTCCTCGCAATTTCCTCCTCTTGTTTTCAATTCTCCTATCGTTCGAAACCCGGTGTCTTCCGAGGCATGCGCGCAGTGAAATGAGTCGATTGTTCGTGTAACATAAACAAAGTTGAATCGATTTGTACATAATGCTTCTCGAACAACGCGGTGTGATGGATGCGCTTTGAAGGGAGCATGTGAGAATTTGCATCCCGCAGCAAACTCTGCCGGTACCCTATGGCCAACGACTTTTGATTTTATTTTTATACAAATGTATCCTGATGGCTTATTTTTCTGTACTTGGATATTTATCTTTCTGCGCCGAGTGCTGTTTTTTTTTTAATGCGGAATTGCGTGCCATCTTGATCAAGGGAAAAAATTCTAGACTTCTTCAAACGGTTGCGAAGAAAACGCGTTACCCGGGGCCGGTTTTTCCTCTTCCAGAATAAGATCGGAAATTTTTTTTTTCTAGAAATTCGCGGCTTAATATATTAATTGTGCTTCGTGTCGCCGTAGAACCGCGGGTGAGCTGGGCAGAGGTCGTGTTTCGCTGGAGAAGAGATCATTCCCGTCCGCCATATCTCGCAAGTCGCGCTGTATATATTTTTTTATGAGCACTCAGAAGAAATGAAGAAACACATTTGTTCAAAATTTTGCATGTCTTTGTTACTCTTGTGATTATTTCGTTCTGCTTTCGTAGAAACTCCATCGCCTACTGTACTTCCCGAAAGTAAAAGGAAATTCGATATAATTTTTTCTCAAAAACCGCGAAGTCTCGCGGACATGGTAGCTTGGATAATCCTCGAATGTGGATGACTGATCCATTCGAGAAGTTCATTTGTATTCAAGTAAATTGCATTTTAAAAGCCCTAATTATCCTGAAATTTGCGAAACATTCAGTTTGATCGTTGCGATGAAAACACGTCGGAATTTCTCAAACCAGCATGATTCACAAACTGGACGTGTCGACAGGTTTTTTTTATGAACTACTATGTTGTTCATTTTTTGATAGGTGGTAGTTTATTGCAGCTATCATATTGATACTATCATCTATCGTTTAAAAAAATTCATCAAATGTTACTGGAGATTAGCACTTTATAGATCGCTTGAGAATCCAAAAGACAAGTTGTTCGCACCGTCGCATCTGTTGCCGAGAGAGTGAAAAGAGCTGTTTATATCATAATTAGCCTCGATTTAAAAAAGGAACAGACAGGTTGACGTACACTTCCGAGAAAAATATTCATGATGAAATTTTGCTACTTCAACTTCACGAAAGAGAAGAAGCACACACTCGAATAAGCTGAGAAATTGACTTTTGTGTGAACACAACTGCATGGCGGGTCTGCTGCAAGTTTAGATCAACTGAATCATTCGTTCTCTGAAAATTCAACAAATAATTCAACAGTTTCACACATTCGCGTCATCGATTGAATCTGAGCCAAAGCAGAAAACTGTTGTGAACTTGGTCAGGCCCATTATTTTCGAAATCTTCTGAACGTGCATTTGTGGGGCATAGCGATGCTTCCTATGCAGCTTGAAGTTGTGTACCTTGGAAAATTCCATTCATCGACGGACTTTTAATTCCATCGATCAACGGAATTTTTAGCAGATGTGCGATTAAATGCCGAAGAAATTGGCTGGTCGTTGCCCAGCACAGACGGTCAATTATGAGCTAGCAGCGTGTTCATTCGGTGAAAAGATGAACTGCGGATATTTTCGCAGAAAAAATCCATTACGTACGGTATAATTATTTATGATTCAACAAATTCTTGAAAAACGAAGCTACGAGTCCAGATTTTTCCCGGTTTATTTCCACATGCATGGTTTATCATGCAGTGAATCAATTTTTTCGAGTTACTTTTTCTTGCACACACAAAGCTGCCCATGTCGTCACGATAATGCGTTGAAAACAATGTTCTCGATGATTCTGATTCAGTTTTAAAGTTGATGAGTGTCTACAGAAACGCTTGACAGATTACGTCATGGAAAAACCGGAATTTCCATCAAGTTTCTCAGCATGTTATGCGTAAAGTAATAGTTATGTCAATTTGTATCGCACAGATCACAGTAACTCTTTCCGAATTAATTAAAACATTATAGCTGCTCGCAGTTCAGAAAATGCAGTGAACAAAACTCCGAACGAATCTTGATACAGTATCTTAAAATGATATCCAGTTAACAAAGGATTCGCAGAACATTTTTTTTGTGCGACCTACTCAAACAGCCACCATTCTTTTCGGAAAAATAACTGCTTCGGATAGTAAGACCCCCATAAAAATGATTCACCTTGAAATTAATCTAACGGTGCTGTGGCTGGCTGTCAAAATAGTTTTATTTTTATTTTTTCAGGTGTATAAAAGCTCTTTAAATATTCTTGATTGTGTTGAGAATCTGTTTCTGAGCAAACTTGATTACCTAATTTTCAGAAAATGCCCCTTTGTGGTCACTTCACAGAAAATCCGCCATTATTCGTCGGAAACCCTCAAAACTTGGTTTCCAGGGGTTCCAGCACAATGATCTTGATATTTTTGAATTGTCTAATATTTTATTTGATTATGATAAATTTTCTGGGAATATTGCGCAATGAATAAAAATTGACAAAAACCATTCTTCAGCAAAAACGACAAGATTTTTTTATTGAGGAAAATATGAATATTGGCTACACATTCAACGGACTTGTGAAATCCCCCGGTTAACAGACCAAAGGGAATTATTGATTCTTCTAACCGAGGCGTCACGGTTTTTTTTCAGAGATTTTTGTTGGCAAAGCAACTAAAAATATTACTGAAATAATTATATCCGGTGTCGTCATAACACATTTCCTGCTAAAACGATTGTTTTATGATACTGATCGGTTAACGTTTGAGTCCCGCAGGTTTTCGCTAAAGAAATGCCATCCTGAATAATAGGCTTTGTGCGTTAAGGAATTTCTCTCCCACAAACTTGAAGGCAACCCGTCCTTCATTGGAATTTGGTTTCTACTTCATTAGTCAGAAAATGGAGGGGGTTGGACGTGGTCAAACAGATTTACTTCCTTCGAAAGCATCGTTAATTGACGCGGACGAGGATGATTTAGCGTCTGAGAACTGTGAAGGAAACCAGTTGGTTCACGTGTTTGCATCGTGAGCATGCGGTCCTCGTCATATTCTAAGAACGGCTTTTAATTTTATTCGAAGATGCGCATGACGTGTGAATTTGCGGAGAACTCCTGTGTCATTCCCTCAGTCGTTCACCGAAATACCTGCCTGAGTGAGTATCGGTCTCCTAGTGATTACTAGTCCAGTTCTTCTACGCCTTCGCTCATTGTTTTTGTCTTCGAAAAATGAAGTCAAGTGCTGAGTCTATAAATACAGTAGCCAAAAGCTATTCTGAGTGTTGGTATCATCCGTGAGCAAAGCTCGTTTGCGAAGAACCTTTCTAGCGTCTCTATAGTCACTTCTAAGTTTCGATCGGTGTTCGTTCTGCACGAAGTGCTTTTGAAATTCCTACTCTAAGCAATCGGACGCTTTATGCGCGACTATTTATTCGTCTCGCGTTTGTTTCGGCGAATACTGTACTTCGTCATGGAAAAGGCGATGGTAAAATTTAGCAATAATTGACGACATGGCAAAGCGAGGAAAAATTTTGGAACATGTTTCTCAAATTTCGTCGTTCTTTTCATTCGCTTGCTCAAGTCATCGTCATTCGAAGATATAATTGTTAAAATCTCTCCGTCCACGAGAGGAGTTCGATTCTTGCTTAATCAGTGAAATCATTGATTTTCAAGTATCTTCTTAATTTTCTATTGTAGTTCTAATTTAGGATTTCGAAAAAAACCAGGATACGGATACGGAAAAAAGCACCCGTATCCACCCACCCATGAAAAACAGGTGATTTTTGTCTGGGTCTCTACGCCTGGCTGGGAAATAGCTGATTATTTGCTGGGTGGCTGGCCCTTACTGTTTCAATGATTGATGAAGATGTATCTATATGCAATTCTGTATGTTATTTTAACAAGTACAGTACAGTACTGTATATGCCTCAAAATCTATATTTTTATACTTGATTTATTTTGGTACTTATTTTGTGTGCTCCATACAAGTAACGCGCCCTTAATTTCATTAGTCTGCTATAATTTTTGTTGTTCAGATTAGCATTTCTTACTTATTGTATCCCTCTATATTTATTAGATATACCTTTACTTAGTGGCCATGCCCTTGTTCCACATATTGTGCCTGATGAGGGAAAATCAACATCAACTCATCTTTCGGGCTTTCACAAATTATATGGCCGAGGAATTTTGGAAGAAATTCCCTCGGAAGGATCTATTACATTTAGAAATCACCTGTTCCCAGGTAAGGGAAAAATTTGCAGATTTTACGTTCTAAATAATTTGACACGTTCTATAATGAGTAACGTATTTAGTGAGTTTGAATATTTCATGTGTACAGTAATTGTCTTGTACAATGGGCAACATCTGAGAGTGCTATAGTGAAACAACATGTTTCACCAAAGGAATGATAGGTTGCCAGTTCATTCCACTGACAAGGGATGTTGCTTGCCTTCGAACATCACAGGAAAACTCTCAATATTTTTTTCGCATTTAACTTGCTTTTCAAATGAAGTTGATGTATGGTCTTCTTTTCTTTAGCGGAGATCCTAGGTACAAGACCAGCTATCAGCCTGGGGATTTGGATTAGCAGCTATGTTTTATGATGCAAGCACAGCAAATGACTTCCTGTTGGACAATGAAGGAGAAATACGGTGTGATAATCCGTACGGCTTGTCGTATCAAATGGCCTGTGCCCTTATTCCACCAGATGTGATCATCAAAGAACCTGAGGTTTTGTTCCTGCATCATCGTCATGTGGAAACAAACTCCAAAGAATTGCAGCAGGATCAGGAACAACCGGCCTCAGTCTAGAGATAAGAAGTGGACGTCAACCTGTCTGTTCCTTTTTTAAATCGAGGCTAATTATGATATAAGGAGCTCTTTTCACTCTCTGGGCAACAGATGCGACGGTGCGAACAACTTGTCTTTTGGATTCTCAAGCGATCTATCAAGTGCTCATCTCCAGTAACATTTGATGAATTTTTTTAAATGATGGATGATAGTATCAATATGATAGCTGCAATAAACTACCACCTATCAAAAAATGAACAACATAGTAGTTCATAAAGAAAACCTGTCGACACGTCCAGTTTGTGAATCATGCTGGTTTGAGCATGATTCACATGCTTGCTGAGTATACAGGTACAGGTATTCCATTTCGGATTCTGCTTCGCAGTTGCCCACCTGATTTTCCGAACTCCGTTTGAAGGCATTGTGAAATTCCCGTTATGTTCTATATTCGTTTTTAAATGTTTGTCTTCGTGATTTATTCCGCGGGTAGGTTATTGGCTAGAGCGATACTTGAACGCGAAAGAAGCGATTTGCCCGAGTTTCAAGAGGGCGCTTGTGTGGTGTGATTGATTTGACCGGCGGTGTAAAAGGAAGAAAAATCCACCCCGAGTCGTGGCGTGGATTTCTGAGGTTACTCGCAGATGTGAACAGGACCTCGACAAAATGTCGTTCAAGTGTCCTTCTGGCTTCCCTGTTGTGGACATTAGTCACAGCCCACCAGCTGGAACCTTTTGTCGCAGTCAGCGGACACCCGACATTGACGTGAGGTCTGGCGATGAGGCCCACGAGGCCAACTTGAGGCGGTACCTGGTCAACAAGAGGTCCCTCACCAACTCTTACCAATCTGGCCAACGCAGCACCTGCAACTCTGGCAATAGCAGTTCCAGATGCGTCTTGGCAGGCGAGAAACGGTGAGCTCTTCTGGTTTATTTATTTTTTACGGAAAATCCCTGTGTTAGGGGTTTATTTTTCTTACTGAGGTGTCGCGTGAATTTCGTTCTGTTAGATTTAATCTTGATCAAGATTCAGCGATTCATTGAATCAATGATTCTTGCGTTGAAGTTGGGTTTATTGTTGAGTGTTACGGTTGGACAAGGCAGCAGGAGGACTGATGGGTGATTTTGGAGTGGATTTCTTCAAATTCTTCCCTGAAATGGTTGCGGTACATTATTGAGAACATCTCTTAATGTGAAGAAAACTTCCACACTTTTTCCAATCATAATTAAATCAGAGTACAGTATTTCACGAAAACTCTCTCCGAAATTCAGCTGAGGAGAATGTGTTAGCGTTGAGTAGATCCGTACATTTTCTGATGTCGACGTCTGGTGAATTTTGGATTCACGTCTCCGAGGGAACCTTATTACAAGAAGCTTGATAAAAGGAACTTATCGACGAAATCTTGAAAGAATAGTTGGGGAATTGGAATAATTTGGATGAGCTGAAAATCATCGATGACACTCCATAATGCCCAAGCATAGAATTTTTGAAGAATGAGTCCAACTTCGAGATTCTTTTTTCTAAATTGAAAGTTTGGGTTTGATTCTCGGAATGCTGGCGTCAGCTATTCAAACTACAGTGTGGCAGACAAGTGCTGGAAGCCATATCATTTAAAGCTCAATCGAATTCGAGCCACGAAATGTGAGCATTTTTCGAATGCTCCGTTCTGCATTACAAGGAAAGTTAAAGTCTGATGCTATCTTCGGCTCTGTATTTTTCACGATATATTTGTCGTATACGTGAGGACGCGATCAGACTCTTTTACAGTCCAGTACTTCTGATGCATATAATTGACGCTGTTGTACACAGAAGTGTGACATTCTTATTCTTCCGAACCAACTACTTTAGGAGTTTTACATAGCATAAATGAACATACCTAGTATATTTTGAGGCTGAACTTGCACGCCATTTACATAACATCCACCCCTCTTAGAACGCAAACCGCAGAGGAAGTCTATCATTGGTTTCCTGAAATTAAAATTAAACAAATTTTATCACGCACTTTCATCATCAGGAACAATGATGGGGCCGTGATCAGAGTGCCTGCAAGTTCTGGTAGACCGTCAGGCGGCTACCTGTCCCCTTGCGGATTGGAGAATGTGTCATTCTGCTCCGCTTCGACTGAGAGCAGCAACACGCAAAAGTCGGGAACCCAATCTGGAACTCAATCTGGATACAGGTAAGTCGATTTTACTTTAAATGAACGAAAAGGAAAGTTTTTCAATCGTCAGTAAATTAAGAATACTCGCAAAAGAGAAACATTGCACACATCCAATCCTTTCATGTGCTGTGTATGATAGTATTTCTGAAAGCTGCCTGCTTGATACGAAAATATTTTGGCTCCCTGGACTCACGGAGATCACTTTAATATTTTTGATCTCCTTTATTACGATTCTCGAAATGAATTTTACTTAATTACACTTGAAGTGTCAAGCTGATTCGTTCGGATGGAACCGGGAAAGAGAGCGAAGTTTTTCTGAGTTCAAGTGCTATTGACTCGTCCAGTGCAGGAATCGTTCCGATTAAAATTTTATGTGTAGTTCTTGGTTCATTTTTAAATCTTTGTTTAATTTCAAGGTTTTGAGAACATTGCGTAAATTTTTTTTTTAACTGCTGCAGCTATCGAGATCAAGTTTGACGAATCGTTCGCTGAAAACAGAAGTGGTTTCTTTAAAACCAGTTACTGATGCACCAGGTCCAGAAAAAAAGATTTGAATGTGAAACCGAAGGAAGCGAGAACTACTTTTTTCGAGTTGCTGGGCTCGATTATTACTTGCCTCTGAGAGCCTAGTATACAGTACAACGTATATACAATACATATTTCACGGCATTTTGTAAATATTCTAGGCAACTTATGTTTCATGTTCGTTAACGCAGATCCAATTCGAAAAACGAATGCTCGAAAACAGAGTCGAAGATGCAAGCCAAAGAGGACGTGACTCCAGAAAAGCGTCGACGGCTGGAAGAAAAGCAAGAATGCTGCGATTGCGTGACGGCTGGCCTCCCTGCGGTTCTCCGCCGGCGCAACCGACGAACGAACACGCGAACGCCGCACAGCGGGGCAGGTGCGTTGACGAGATCCAGGAGGTTGTGCCTCTGTTACCGACTGAGCGTCCAGTGCTTCTTCGCTGCGACAACGGTATGTGAATTTCTGTTCCCAAGATCGAGAAAAGGCTACTGTTGTTTACGCGGCTGATCGTCAATTCAGAGAATGAACCAAGTAATACAAGAGTGAGGGAATTCTAAGGATTTAAACAGATTGCGAATCCATCCCCCAACCACATCCAACAATATATGAACATCTTGAAGTGAACAGTATGTTAGCGTGTCGCAGTCAGTGACTCAAACATTCTGTAAGATAAAACGGTTTACAGCAAATGATGAAGCTACTGTAGTTACCTAAGCTTGAATAAAAAATTAATAAAACATATACTGTATTTATTTCGACGCTTCTTCATGAGCAGGCATAAAGAGATGATTCATTTTAAATGCCCGGAAGTTGATCGAAATGACGTGTATAGTAATTTGAATGATATCACGGTCACATGGAACCATAATTCAAGTGGAGATTTAACCGATGAACAGAGGTAGTTTAACCTCCAACAGATCCAGGATACGACACGAACTAATACAGTACTGCAGTTTGAGTTTGACAGAGAAAAGCTCAACGAAATATTTACCGTAGCCTGTACATTAACTTCGAGAATCCGTTAATTACCTTAAAAGTAATTAATGGATTAAAGGCTTCTCTGTCATAGTACTGTAATACAGTGCTGTATCAGTTCGTGTCGTACCCTGACACTGTTGGATATTGAACTATAACTACCCCTCATTGACGCAATGGACACATTTAGTATCATACTCAAGTGCAATGTGGCTTTGCGTAAAATGCATCACTAGCTAAAATGGTAAAAAAATATCCTTGAATGAAATACGCACCCCATTTTTAAAACTTATTTTGGCAGTTGAAATTTTTTAATGCCTGTGTATACTCGAAATGAATGAGTTTAGCAATTGATGTGCCTTTGTTATATATATATTATATGAAGTATCACAGCTGTTATTTTAATTTGAAGAAGTAGATCTCAACTAGGTCCACTTAAAATTAAAGTAAACTCGGACGTAATATTAACATGCACAAAATCAAAGATTTAAAGAATCGGAAGTCGATCACGCTCGGCTAATACTGCGTGTAATTTTACAACCTTTTATTTTGCCCTTGTTTGACGTTCACCCCAACTTTTGGTCCTCGTTTCTGGGGATGAAGGTGCACTGGGTACTCGCGTATACTGTAAACGCGTTTTTGGGTGAATCGATATTATTCTGAAAGAAGCATTCTATGTGCTGCTGGTTCTTTGAGCCCTGTTCTAGTGGATTTTCCTCTTGTTATTGTCGCTTTTTGAGGAGCAGATGCAGCGGTCGGCCAAGGAGCCGAATCCGTTCTCACTCTTGCTGCCGCCGTCCAGCGACAAGCTGTTGCTGAGCGGGCAAAGCGTGGCGCGTTGCTCGCGCAGCCGGCGCCTCCGCGACGTGCCGCGCAGTTGCGTGTCGTTCGACGTCAACACTACTGGCAGGGCGCTGTTGCTCAAGAACGGGCTCGACACTTCTCGCAAGCTTCATGTGCTGGGTCGCGGAGGGTTCGGGGTCGTGGTCAAGGCAGTCTACCAAGGTGAGACTACGATACCGGAAAATCGTGCATCAACAAATGCAGTTACAACAGCATTTTCAGTGCAACCAACTTTTTCCGAAGTCCCGGCAGAAAGCCCATAGAGCACATGTTGAAACAATATTGTCCAAACACACTTCCCAATTCCAGTAAACACATTTTTTAAAAGGAAATTCCAAAGATTCTCTAGGTGAAAATTTCCTCACTAATAAGGCAGGCTCAGCATGAAATTTCCAATCCTAATTGTGACTAACTGGTTCTTGAAACATGGATGGAAGCAGTAATCAATGAAAAAGATACTTACAAGTGAATCCATACATCATCCTCCCAGACTATAGATACTGTATTGGTGCAACTGATGAATGTAATTTATGAAAGAAGCCAAATTTTTTAGAAGATCACTCAGTTTTTCAAAAACGATGAAAAAATCTGAGAATACCAGAAAAAAAAGATTTGATTGTATGGGCAGTTCTGATGTAGCGATTTTTTAAATCATTAATTTCGAGAATCTCGCTTTAACAAATTACTGTATTCAGTATAACAAACTTTTTCTGAAGTCCCCAGAAGTTTGTTGTAACCGTCAAACCTCACTTCGATTCTTCTGGAGGAAGTTCGGGATTTTGGAAAGAAACCTTGAAAACATCAGAAGAAATAATCCATAACCTGTTTCCGTCAAACGTTGAAAACCTGAATCCTGGAAGTGTTCGACTGTATTTATACGAAATTGCAACATCACTTTCTGACTCAATATTTGTTATTGATGACACGAACCAATGAACTGTGAGGAACGCTGCCTTAAAAGAAGGTGTTATTTGCACTGAGTGCGCAAGCTCTTTTTTGAAAAAGGAACATTTTCAATCTAATTCTTTTCGAGAAAATTTGAAACGGCCTGTAAATTTTTTAAAAGCGAAAATAAAAAATTCTCATGAGCGGAAAATTGAAAGTTCTCAGAAATCACTTGTATGCCTTGCAGGCTTAAATGCTTTGGATGAGAAATCAAACAGTTTATCTCATCCTCTTTTCGTATTTCCTCTTCATCTCGAATATCGGCCGCATTCTGCGAATTTTTCAGAAAATCAGTGCAGCCTGTGCTTAGCGTGAAAGTGGAATGTTCATTTTCAGCTGCTTAAATTGTGAACACGAATGTCTTTCATGTGCTGGAATTGCAGTTGCGATTTCTCGAACACATCACTATTCCTCTATTGGTCCTAGGAGGTGAACACAACCTCCCTGGGATATTTCTGCGAGATGTGTATCTTTGATGCGAGAAGACCGAATGTTCATGCGTTGTGGGGGGGAAGGTCAAGTGATCCCTCGAGCTTCCATGCCTTATAGTGACGCAATGGGATTTTAAGCCGTGAAAGCTTGAGTCTTCATTTGTCATTCGTAGGACAAGCCGTTGCTGTGAAAATCATCCCTCGGCACAATAAATCTCAGCGGACCGTGGAGTCGTGTCTGAGGGCCGAGATGAACGCCATCAACTTGGATCATCCGAACATCGTGCGAGCCATTCGAATATTCGGCTTTGAGGAACGCAATGCGTTGGTCATCATGGAGTTGGCTGGTTCCATTTCGCTCCAAACCATGCTCAACGATCATCGCACGGACATCCCGTTTGTCACCAGAGTCAAGTCAGTTCCCCCCCACAATTCTCCCACTTTTTTTTCCCTCCTGCTCTGCCATATTCTGGCCAGAAATAAATATTTTTTTCCAGGGCTTGAATAATAATTACTCCAGTGGTGAAAGGTCAGTATCTTAGTTTCGGCCGAGAGGCTGGCATGCCACATTTCATCAAGATGATTGTTGAAGGGTACTGAGGTGTACTACCAAGCATTTTGGAAGAATAATGCAAGGATTTGCTCGTGATCTTTCATACTATCTGGCGTCCTCACACCCAAGGTCACGATCTCACACCCAATGTTCGTGTTTTGCAGGAATGACTAAATTATTTTCTCACAATGCGCCAAATCCGAGGTTATAAACCATTTTTGAACTGCGGATTCTCTTTCTTTACACGATTTATTTTGGGGGACCACTTTTTCACATTTTACTTCGCTGTACTCACCTGTATTGTGGAACATAAAAGTCCTAAGTTTTTGTTGTTGCTGTTGGTGGCTCCATTTCGGTACTGGTGAACCTCAAGAACCCGAACATCCCCAAGTCCAATACTTATCTATGTACATTTATTTTTTTAAGTCACTGTCTGAATTCCCTTCGAAACTGCCCGAACTGAAAGGCTTTTCCTCCTCAAACCTTCGTAACTTGAATTTTCATGAGGCTTTTGGCTATAATTTTATTGTATGAAAGGAAAAAGCTATAGAAATGTCCGTTGATGTATTTTGGAAGTAAGTGAGAGTCTCGATGTAAAATTAGTCCTTTCCTATACAAGGTCAGCATCCTGATGATTCATTCAATTAGCAATTCAAGACTCGGAGTATCACAGATTACAATTTTTTGTAATTATTTCTTTCCCCCAACACATTCGTGTTCCCTTAACTCGAAAACTCCATAGTTCGAATTTGTTTGCTGACTGTCCCTTGAAGTTTGACTTGGTGAAGCAAATGTACCACATGTTCCTGATGGGAACACTAGGCATTCCGTACCATAATTACATTTTTTAAACTTTCATTCAAATTGAAACCTACGCATCAAATATTTCTTTGAGGCAGCTGCGGAGCCACTATAGGGATAATAGTTGAGCTGCTGATGGAAGTGTTCTTCGCGATGCATGTAAAAATTGGTCTCTTTTCCGCGGAAAATTTTATATTCTGTTGACTTTTCCATGCAGATTTGCTGTACAAATTGCGTGTGCCTTGGAATTCTGTCACGATCGCAGAATCCTGCATTTGGACGTGAAGCCGAGCAATATCCTTATCTCTGGTCACGAAACCTGCAAACTCGGCGACTTCGGCTGTTCCAGGCATTTGGACGACGCTATGACTCAGGGTAACAACTCAAATTGCCCGGTGAGTGATTAGATTGACGTCGTCCGAAGACTTAGGTCTGAAAGCTCGTACTGATTTACGTCAGATACGTACACTGAAGGTGAATGGGTGAAGAATTAAAATGCCCGAGCGTTCTATTTAGCATTTTATTTTCGGTTCTGTGCGAGTACAGTAATTAGTTCCCGTATACCGATAATCTGTCAAGATTTTCTTCGACTCTTGTCAAGGCTAGTCTAGCCCGAGTTCCTGGCAGAAAACTCTAGCACTTCACCAGTTTCAGTGCGTTTGTTCACAATATGAATAAACGAAGAGCAATACTGTATATGAGGCCTTCAAGAAATCTTTATTGTACACCTTCTGAAAAATCAACACTATTCGCGCATAAATTAAATCCTCATAACTGGATTCTTTCTATAAATAACTTGCTTCCGATGGAGAACGATTCGTAATCGGACTTCCATCCCTAGCAGAAATCTGTAGAGGCCTTGAAGGAAAGCCAGTGATGCATGAAGAATTTCCTGATGAAGTTTCAAATCGGACAGGCGAAGCGGGGAAAACCTCAAATTTGACAGCTTTGGAATAATTTCCACGCTTCCGTCTAGCAATTATTCAGCTGTGTGCCATAGACAGACGTCACTATCGCATATGAAATCGTTGCTCAAGCATGAAATGATGGCGAGGGTGACTCATTTCAGGTCAGGGGTACAGTCGTTTACCAGGCACCCGAGGTTTTGCGGGGTTGCCTGCCCACCGAGAGGGCTGACGTCTATTCGTTGGGAATCACCATGTGGCAAATGATCACCCGGGAATACCCCTTCCCCGGGGAGCGGTCTCACGTCGTTATGTACTTGGTAAGTAGATTACTTGCCGATTTCTTTCTTCAGTAGGACTTCATTAATCTTGGATAATGACTGGGTGGCTTCGACTAGCTGATCAATTGTGTCGGATAATCGAACTCCGGAAATTTTTCAATTGATCGGGAAAACTGCAGAAACGCCCCGACATTATTTATCTGTAACAAGTCTGTGTGAATTTCAGGGTTCGTTAACTTAAATTATTGGTTAATTTGAGGATACCGCGACTTAAGGAGGGGAAAAAATACACAGGCCAGTTCATTTTTTTCATTGAACATTTGAAACAGTTGATGAAATTCTGGAATAATCCGAGCCCAGTCATTTCGAATAATCAGAATGTTATGGTACTATCACGAATGATACTCCGAATTGAGAGACGAGATAAGGGATTAAATTTTTTTACTAATGTTTTATTAAACTCGTAAGTTTTGAATCAAGGTGAAATTGAATTTAATGCTCACATCGATCCTTGGGAGGTGAATGATGCTTAATACAATGTTTAACTATAACCGAAGAACCATTTTTTTTAGTATCTCTGGGCAAGGATTGCAGTGACAGTATATGAAATTATTCTGAACTGTCTTTCCGTTCCACACGAAAACTCATTAATGGCGGTTTTTCATTGCATGTATTTAACTTGAAACTAAGCTCGGAATTAGGTTCAAACTTCCGAGGGTATTTTCATACATCTTCAACAACTGCCCTCTCAAGTTCTTGAGTATACTGTACTCTAGTACGACTGTTGAAATTTCCACCGCTGTCCACATGTGATGTACGAATATGCAGACACCAAGGGATTTCAGGAATCTTAGATTTTCACACTTCAGCAAGTGTTTTCTATGGTCGAGATACATTTCAAGACATCGACACTTTTTTTTTCATAGCTTCGAGGCATAGAGGACTGTCAACAACTGCATATATTTTATGTCCATCTGCAGCCACTCTATTGGCCTGCTTTTTCTGAAGGTGCAGGGTAGATTACTGAAAATATCTAGCAGCTTTTCATCAAAGACTGCACAGAAGCAATCCACACTTCGAAGTTCACTACAGTAAAAATTCTGAAGAAAACGACGTAGCGTGTGAGATATGCACATTAGTATGCTTTTCGAAGATTACGCTGCCAAGAAAAATTACTGTCATGCGGAATCGGGCAAACATGGAAGCCGACAGGATTATCTCTTCGTACATGCATGAGCGATTTATAATGGGATTTATTCATCGCAGGTCGGCGGAAGAGGAAAGAGGCCTGTGATGCCGCATCCCGGAAATCAAAATGAGAAATTTTACATGACTTTGGTGGAGCATTGCTGGAAGCAAAATCCAATCTTACGCCCGAGCGCAGCAGAAATCCAGTTGGAAATGCGGAGTTGGACCGACTCCGTGGGGGAGCCACTGATCGTGTGAATCATCACGTTGTCTTCGTCTAATAGCTCCGCAGAGTTTCTCGATAAACCTTACGAGTGTGCTTCGGAGTCTCCCTTCTTTGAAAGTTGGGTTCAATGCGAAATGTCCTGCGTTTATTATGGCCCTCGAAGAATATGCTTTTCACGTTAAGTGGTTCCCATCCCTGTTCTTGAGTCTTTTTCTGTTCTTAG